CTTAATAATAGGTACTAATTATAACTTAGAACATAAATGAAAAACTCATGACAAGGAAAGTGGCTCAGGACCATGCTTTGCGGCATTGTTTGGAGGATGTTCAGTAGTGGACTTGTGAAGAGCTGTAATGATGATGATGATTCGAAAACTTGCACGATTAAATTATAAGAAATCGACGCTTTTTTATATAGGGTAGGGTAACAAACGAGCACACAGTTCACCTGATGGTAAGTGGTTGCTGTGGCCCACAGACATCTACATCTATCCACGATTACGAATCAAAATGCAGATGCGTTGTCACCCGTGAGGACTAAGATGAAATGCCTCGTTTCCTTTAAAAAGTGTCTCTGGTTCTCTACACTCACTATACGAAACACAGCATCATTAAGCTACTATTTTACATTGATATTCTGTGAGAGCGTGGTCCTTCCCCGGTCGAACCGACCCATTCGTGCTACAACTATACTTCTGATATAACTGCATGGTTCTACCACGTATAAACGACGTGCTTCATTTTCTTTTTTTTTTCATTTTAAAATTGTTCTCATAATAATCTGATTGTAAATAAATGTTCATTATTTTTTTTTTATAAATAGCTTATCGATTAAAACAAATGTTTAAAAATAATTAAATCGCGCTAATTAAAGTAGTAACAATGTTTAAAGTTGAAATTGCTACTAAAAAGGCTGGTAATTGGGTCATCCACTCTACAAAGCGTGAATATAAAATTTTAATCAGATGCGTGTAATCACTTTGGAAGCTTGTAGCAAACTAAACTCGCGGCCAACGTGTGGACGCGGCGACCAAACTCTGCCAACAATCCTTTGATCTTTTGTAAAAAACCGACACCACACGGATCTCGCGCCAACTTGCGGGCCATCGTTCCAATACATACCAATGAAGCCCAAACACCCCGTCTACACGTTGGCCAATACTATTTGCCACTACATTCGCCACTGTGTTGGCCAACGTGTAGAGGCGCCGTTAGGCTATACGCGAGATCCGTGAGGTGTCGGATTTTTACAAAAGATCAAAGGATTGTTGGCAGAGTTTGGTCGCCTTGTCCACACGTTGGCCGCGCGTTTAGTTTGCTACAAGCTCCCAGAGTGATTACACGCGTCTGATTTAAATTTTATATTCAAGCTTTGTAGGGTGGATGCCCCAATTACCAGACTTTTAGTGCCAATTTCAACTTTAAACATTCCTACTACTTTAATTAGCGTGATTTAATTATTACTAAACATTTGTTTTAATCAATAAGCTATTTATCGAAAAAAATGAAAGTTTTTTTACAATCAGATTATTACGAGAACAATTTTAAAATGAAAAAAAATGAAGCACGTCGTTTATACGTGGTAGAAAGTATAGTTGCAGCACGAAGGTCGGCTCAACCGAGGAAGGACCACGCTCTCACAGAATATCAGCGTAAAATAGTAGCCTAATGATGCTGTGTTTCGTATAGTGAGTGTAGAGAACCAGAGACCCCTTTTTAAAGGAAACGAGGCATTTTATCTTAGTCCTCACGGGTGACAATGCATCTGCCTTTTGATTCGTAATCGAGGATAGATGTAGATATGTCTGTGGGCCATAATAACCACTTACCATCAGGTGAACTGTGTGCTCGTTTGTCACCCTATCCTATAAAAAAGGTCGATTTGTTATAATTTAATCATGCAAGATTTCGAATCATCATCATCATCATTACAGCTGTTCACAAGTCCACTACTGAACATCCTCCTCCGCAGACTGCCGCAAAGCATGGTCCTGAGCCACTTTGCTCGTCATGAGTTTTTCATTTATGTTCTAAGTTATAATTAGTACCTATTATTAAGTCAGTGTTAATTATATTTATTGCTATTATTTTTGTCTTTCTCAAAAAATAATTAAATTACCAAATAAATTATAAGGTGTTTTTTAAATACATCAAATGCCTGATAGAAAAGCAAGTACATGTTTTGCTAAACTTTAAAATCAATACCCAATTTTAAAACATAGACTAATCGATTATAACTCCTTTAACTTTAAAATAAGTTAAGTTCTATTAATGGTATTTATTCCAGTTTGAGATGCATGTAAAGAATAAATATAGCTAATCGTATATCGGATATCTATTTACAGCCTCATTAATATCCACTATGCTTTTATAATTATTTTATAAAAACGTTACCCCATACACTTGGATTTTCTCCTGTATCGCGGAGGCAGCTTACAAACATAAATTGCACAAGGACACACATCCAGACCCGAAACAATTATTTGTAGGATATACAAATACTTATTCCGTGCGGGATTCAAAACCGCGACCCCTGGCACAGCTACTCATTGCTAAGCCGCTGCGCCACGGAGCCGTCGTCTAAAATAAAATAAATTCGTCCGCACATTGGCCCGAACCGAAGTAAACTGAACGACGTTCCAACGTGTGGACACCGTCACCAGCTCTCGGCCAATATATTCGCCACTCCATTCGCCACTGTGTTGGCCAACGTGTAGAGGCGACATAACTCTTAAATGGCTCAAAACTGTTTTGTGGCCAATCTTCAATTCTTCGGCTACGTTATAAAGAACTACTTCCTCCACTTTTTCACAAAAGGCATCGACTCTATTCGTATGAAGGTGACCAGAGCGAGCTGCATCCTTTTTTGTAATAAAACTTCAAAATGTGTCGAATTTCTTCGTTGGATTCCCTAATTTTGGGAGATAGAAAAATAATTGAAAAATGGTGGCAGTGTTTTTTACACTTTCCTTCTCTTTTTCTTAATGTCTTATATGTATTGATATTAAAACCTGCTAGATACGATTACAAACAGTATAACCAAAGAGATTTTCTTCAATTTTATACAAACAAAATACGACAAAACTTTTTACCAGACCCATTATAATAGCGAACATCTCGTCGTAACTGCCTGCTTGAATAGATATTAGTGTAAGTTCGATAGCCATTCCTGTCCCATGGAGGTACTTAGTATAATTTTTATCAGTTTTATTTCAAAAAACTTCTTTCAGCTGTCAGCTGAGTTTCTTTTGTTGTAATACTTCGAACATTTCGTTTGAAAAAGATAAGAGTTTCGCCGGATGTAATACTTCTAATACATTACCTAGGTCTAGGTCTCAGAGGCTCTAGGGCTGTTTAGTTTGAGACTTTGATATATCTGAACAGCAATAGTACACATTACACATTGACTTTGAAGTATGATTTCGGGTATGAAATTCTCTCACCTTCTGATATTCTTCATATTAAAATGACACTTAGTTATCTTCTTTCTTTTATTTTTGGAAGCAGTTTTTACACTTCACTCTTTTGCTTATCTCTGCACTTGCTCAGCAAACTTTGGAATGAATTTTGATTTCTTATTTCGCTCAGTCTATTCAAAAGATAACCCTTAGTAAAATGTTAGCTTTCTATTATTTCATGCTGTAGAGCTTTAGAAACAGGATCGATGATTTTAAATAGTGAAGAAAAAACGTTTGTCTTTTTAGTGGAAATTAAATTTAGTTGTTACAATATTTTCATTATTAATATAATTCATTAAAAATAATGTTTCCTTATAGCTGATAAAGCGTCGTTTCTTGAAGACTTAGGACACCTTTTTAAGAGTAATTTTATATTTTTAAATAAATCGTTAGTCGTTACTCAGAATTGACAAGCACTTTATACTACCGCTAAAAAGTATATTTTTTGGGTTATTCCATTTGTCAACCCTAAAAAATCCACCTTAGCGTAGATTCTCGCAAACGCGTGTTCATCTATCCATCCCAGACGGGGGTTGATAATCGGAGTTCACTTTTATTTTTTCTTCCGACTTTTTACCCCGAGTACAGTTTAATACATACACTTTAATTATTAATTTATTTTTAATAACCAAAAATTCAATCAAAAAACCTTACTAACGTTTTATGGAATTATTGCAAAATACGTACCAGTTCTTCGCTAACACACCTGCAGTAACAAAATAATTTAGAATACAATTGCAAATGTACATTTAAAGAGACGAATATTCAATTAGGTATGCTCAATAATGAAATTAGTGTTGGTAATTGACTGGAATAATTGAAAAATTTATAAATTACGCAATAATATTATTTAAAACGAGGCAGTTTAATTAGAATTAATTATATTTTAATTTTGCAATACGTAATGCATGGGCTGTACCGGTGTAACGGTTGTAACGGTGACGGTAACGGCAATACGCACACAGCAGAGGGAAAAAATCGAAAAAAAATAATATATATGAATTCCGATTACGCACGCCGTCTAGGTAACTGTTAATTTAGCCCCTGAAAGTAGGTAGAAGTTTTCAGCTTAGGGGCTAATGACCGCTGTAAATTTTGTGCTTGCAATATGTTTATCAATAAAGATTATTATTTCTTAAGATACATTATCATAATTTTCTGTTAACGAGATGTATCGAAATTGGACAATTTCTGACAGGACTTCTTTAGGCACGTTGGGGTGGTTTTTTTCGGGAAGTACGACATAAGAGTTTAAGTGGATTTGTGGATAACATTTTACGAATTTTTGATTACACACGTTGGGGGCCCCTGTAGGCCGGGGGCCCCGTATCATTGATACGGCTGATACGGCGGTAGCTACGCCCCTGATAAGTAGGTATCGTGGCAGCAAAGCGGCACGTAACATCAACGACCCTTACGGAGCGAATACTACAAAGTACAAACGAACGCACCACCTTTTATTGGTTTGTCCGCTTCCGTTTGGAAATTTCGACCTGAAAAATAAATCCCGTGGTCGTCCGAAAGCGTTGGCCGACATGACGAATTAAAGGCGATTGTGGAAGCTGATGATACTCAATCAACGGCTGAATTAGCAATAAACTACTATCGCGTTGGAAAAGATGTATTCATTGCTTGGGTGATTACTTTGATTAGTAGAAATTAAAAATATAGAAAAAAAAAGAATTAGGTTAACTTATTTCATAAAAACAACAATTTCACGGGTAAACCCGTCTGGAATACCTAATAGTAGATATATCAAAAGTGCTCACCCTCATCCAATTTAAAGGAGTAATTGTTCTATTAAGGAGTCGTTCCTTGAGAAACATAAGATGAGCTTGTAACAACTGCGCTTGTAAACAGTAGCTGGTTATGACGGTCGCCTGCACCATGTCGTGAATCAGCGTGCAAATAATAAGAAGTATTTTCAATGTAAGTCTCACTTCATTGGAGCTTGAAAGCAAACATTTAAAAGATTAATGCAATATATTCCTGATAGTTCTCATGTGACAAGCGCATTTTAGAAACATTATACCTTGTTTCCATCCATCTGAACATAATGGTCCCCCTAGCCAACATCAAGTTGACTGAACATAACGACACACACATCCAGAAGACACTGAGTATGATGAAGAACCACAACATACGCAGAAGACGTTTTGGGTTAGCAGTAGGCATGCTTTGCGGGGCGTAGGAAGATAAAAGAAATACCTAGAAATATAATAGTGGTTAGAAACATAGTATAGCAACAAAATATTGTACTTTTGAACAGTTCCAACAGTTTAAATCGTGCGGGTAAATACTCCTTAAAATGCTCGTAACGTGTAAAGTTTGCGAACTCACATTAGTTATGAATACTTTTTAATTTCCCGCTATGAAAATCAATGATTTCCAAAAAATCGGGAAGTTATTGGTTTCACCTGTTTTCGAAAATCGAGTTTTTTTATATGGGAGAGGGGGCAAACGAGCGTGCGGCTCACCTGATGTAAAGTGACTACCGCCATCTATGAACAACCGCAACACCAGGGGAATTGCAGGTGCGTTGTCGGTCCTTTATAAAGGAGTAAGCTCTTTTCTTGAAGGTCCCTAAGTCGTATCGGTCCAAAGTCTCAAACAAAGGTGACTGCGTTTTTTTTTGCGGATTGCATATGAGAGACGTTCGGTACATTTCTTAGAAGATAGCCTACTATTCTGTTTTTACTATAACCACGCTCTCGCAGAATACCAGCGTAAAATAATAGCTATTTTTACTTCAAACGAGCCATTCCATCTTAGTATTCAGGTTAGACATGATTAGTAATGCACCGTCAGTTGGATTGTATGCTTGTTTGTCACCTTTATTCTATAAACAAAAGAGTCGTAGGTAATATTTCACATATTATTATACGTTTATGGAAAAATAATAATAATGTGCTAAAATCGTCAGTGCGTTACGGTATGTATATGTAAAAAGGTAGTTCTTTTTGATTATAAAATTTTTTTACGGAGAGCTGCAGCTTATTTTATTTCTAATATGTATAAAACATTTTCAGTAGATAATAACATTCAACCCGTCCACTAAGTACGTATGATAATTTAGTGGTAGACTGAGGCCAATTCTACTTACAACGGAGAAGGTCCATGACCAGCAGTTGACTTTTATGGACTGATAAAAGAGAAAAAGATAGCTAAGTCTGTAGCGCAATCATTTAATATTATATTTAATATATCATTTAATATTATGTTTGTGCACGCGAACAAGTAATAGCCCAAATACGTAGAGGTTTGCAGTCGTCCCAGAATCAATCGTTATTTAAAAGTTGAGAAAAATTAACCCGTAAACCTCATAGTTTAGCTGCTGTTAAAAGATTTCCTGCGGAAAAGACGAAAGAGACCTCTCGGCAATATTTTTACAAGAAGAAATTTATAAGTGAATATTCAATCAAGTCGAGCCATAGAAATATAAAAATTATATCTATTAGTCGAGCACTGACTATAAGTAAATGAAAGAGTAATGTGTTCCAATCTAAATGATCATAGGTACTCACCCTTTCCATAAGATTTTGTAATTGTTCATTGTCTGATATTCGAAATAAATAAAGAGCATATAAAAAACCTGTAAAATGGAGAATACTAGGTCCTATATATGTGAAAGTAACATTTCCATAACATATTTGTTTATAAGCATCATACTCTAACGATGATGTGAGGGCAAGCGGCACTAATTTGTAACAAAAACCTCTGTCTCTCCTGGAAAAATAAATTAAAATACACTTCAGTTTTCTTTCTCTTTATAGAAATAATGTTGATAAGAGTTAAAAAAATTACCTGAAACAGGCCATATATTGTAATATATACCCTAAAAACATGAATACTGCTACTTGAGCTGAATGAAAATGCGAAAAACAAATCGTATATTTCGATGAATTTGAAGCATCAACTACAGGCCTTAAGCCCATTATTGTTAAAAGTTTTAAATATGGGACTAATATCTGAAATGAAATATAATGTCACTATATTTTTACTGTATGAAAAAGTTTAAAATAGTTGTTATTAAATAGGTTAGGTTACCTTTGACTTGCAATAATGTAAAATTGCAGATGTGCTCATATATTCTGTATCAGGAGATTCCGTTATTTCCCCTATCTGAAAGTTCAGAAAATAAACTCAATATCAATGAATCAAAACAGAAATTTGAATGACTATGCGTACATAATTTTAGAAATTTTTAATACTTAATTTGAAGGAAAGTTGAAATCCGTAAATTTTAATTTCTTTTATATTTGACTAATAGTATTTTGTATAACACGTATTATTTTAGAATTAGTACTACTCACATCGACACTATTAGCATCCAGACTAGACCTGGATCTCTCCATCGCTGGTACGCCCCCAAGCTTGTCGTTGCCCAGTACATGGCTGTCCAGTAAGTCACTAGCTACACAATCGTTTAAAAAATTCTTATTATCCATTTTATTGCCCATATCTATATTTTAATAGCTATTAAGTATTAAACACTAACGATAAATGTTTTCCCTAAGATTTCTAGGCATGTAAATATTAACGGTAAGATTATAAACTGTATATAAACAAATGTATAATGGAAACAATTACCACTGCCGTAAGATCCATTATCGTTTTGCATGCTATATGCACTTCCCTCACTTCACTGTCTTACATTGACAATTTGACAAATCACTTATCGTACAGAACAATGCTTTTAAAAATACCCACAATATTTTGTTCATACTAATTAAAAATATAATATCGCGTCCAAACCTTTACATAAATAACAATTGACTGTATTAAATGTTTGTAAAATGTAAAATGTTTGTTGATAGTCATAGGTTGTCGGCGTAACCAGAGGTAAACAACCGCCTTTGTATGGGACACATAATTGTTTATCCATTGTTTTGTATTTCGTATATAGGTATATATACAAAGATAACTCTTTCTGTTATCATAAAGGAATGTAATTTTATTATATAGGTGTTACTAACAAATAAAAAAAATACTTTTCACAATGTCACAAAATTCACTGAATAGCCAGATGAATTAGACGAGAGCGAGAGATTTAATTTTATATGATAAAGAGATTATAATTTTGGAACCATAATTAGGCTTCGTCTCTTATTAAAAAGAATTATTAATTTTATGACAGTTGAATGCAAAAAATACAATGACCAATGGTTTACAATCGTAGCACAATGAACTTTGATAACCCCTTTATATTTATTCACTTTAATGCGACGCGTTTTTCTTGGCATAATATTATTGATCGCTTTTGGCTCCTTTTGCTACAAATGCTTATAATTTTTTTTTGTTGAATTTCTACTTCTTTTGTAAGATGTTCCTCATTAGTTACACAAAACTAAATCATTACTTAAAAATGTACCTAAGTACTAGCTTAGACCAAACGTGAGATCAATAGTTGATTTTAGTTTTTGAGGAACTACTTTATTATTTACCAGCAAAATCCGGCTTCTCCTAAAAAAAAATTAAAATGATTTAAAATGATTTTTAAAATTATGGTTGAATTATGGATGACAATTCAAACATAATTTTAAAAAATTATCGTTATTTTTAATCTCTAAATTTCTCTGATAAAATACTTAGTTAACTCTCCTGTCATTGCACCATATCCGTTCATGAAGTTTCATTACAGTCGGTTCAGCCTTTCTGAAGTTGAGCGCGGACAGACGGACAAACAATTTTAAAAATGGTTCCTCAATTCCTCATCTTAATGGTATGTCCTTTAGCACAAGAAAAGGCAGTTATTTAGCCAGACACTTCAATTTTATTTAAATGCATAGAGTATAGATTAAATAAGGGATAAAAATTATTATTGTGAGACTGTCTCGCAAATCTTGAAAGAGTAGTTAAAGTTCCGGAATCTGCAAAATCATAATTGATTAACTTATCATTATATACTATAATTTATAATAAAAAAGAAAACTTAAAACTAAAATTATCCTTAAGCATATAATAATATACAATTTTACAGTTCCTTAAAATTAAATGTAGGCGTTTTAATTTTTTTATATACCTACGAGTGGCGTTCCAAAAAATGTGAGATTACGGTATGCACAAACACCTTGATTTTAAAAAAGTAAACACTACCTAGTAAAGCTGAATATCTGTAAGATACCTATTTGTTCCTACACTAGGATTTTTTCCGGTATCGTGGAGGCAGTTTGCAACATAGATTGCGCAAGGTATTCCGGGATTCAAACCCGCGGCCCTCGGTGCCGTAACTCAATGCCAAGCTACTGCGCCATCGAGCTGTCATCTTTACTATCATCTTTGGTTTTAAAAATACAAGTTATTTATTTGCAGTTAATTGTAGCATTTGCGAAAATGCAAAATATACAACTACGCGCTGTTAATAACCAAGTTAATAAGATAAGTGTCTGTGCTTTAAAAATAAGGTGGGTGTACTATGAGAGGCCACTCTAACAAATAAACTATTATTATTCGTTCACTTACTGGATAAATGATACTAACAAATATTTAAGTAATACTTTGTTTTATTACGTAACATACAAACCACTTTTTTAAATTGCAGATTCAATCAATACTGATTGAACTTAAGTTTCATTGAACTCTTCCAAATGGCCTTGCTAGGAACAAGGCTTCTTAGAAGGCCATTATAATAAATGAGTCATTTAACACTAAAGTTTAATAAATAGCGATTAAATCTACAATAAAAATAAGTGGTTTATATGTTACGTAAGAAAACAAAGTATTACTTAAATATTTGTTAATTTCATTTAATAATAATAAATAATAAGCACTCACGCCTGTCACCCAGAGGGGTAGGCAGAGACTACAGACTTCCATTTGGCACGATCCTGACACACCTCTCTCGCCTCCTTCACATCCATACACCTACGCATACATGCTCGTCGGTTAAGGGTACTCCTAATTTGGCCCGTTTCCAATAAATCGCCAATTTGGTCGATAAATTTTCGCCTAGGACGTCCCTTTCCGACTCTGCCATTCACTTCTGCAACACAAATTTTCTTTGTCACTCTTTCCTCATTCATTCTTTCCACATGACCAAACCACCGAAGCATTCCTTTCTTAATCCTGGTCACAACATCATCTTGCAAACCACACTCTTCTCTTATTACACAATTTCTTACCCTGTCGTTCAGATTCAGCCCTAATATACTCCTTAAGGACCGCATTTCTACTGCGTTGATTCTACTATCGTGCTTCTTCTGCCACACCCAACTTTCACTACCATACGTTAAAGTAGGGACCAACACAGCATTGTGAATTGCCATACGTGCCTTTTTTGACACATTTTGACTCTTCACAATAGAGTGCAGGACCCCATTTACTCTATTTCCCGCATTCACTCGTCGTTCTATATCCTTATCATATCTCCCATCCCTGCTAAATACGCAGCCCAAATATACAAACTCATCTACTTGCTCGATCAACTCCCCTTCTATTCTTATTTCACAAATCGTTTTACTTTCTTCTCTTTCAAAAACCATAACCTTCGTCTTACTTGCGTTCACTTTCACACCCCTTTCTTTTAATGATCTGTTCATTAATGTAACCATCATTTGCAACTCGGCCGCCGACGACGCAAGGATAACTTGATCATCGGTGTACAAAAGGCATTTGATGGTTAACTCACCCATTCTTAATCCGCATTCTTCAACTTTTAAATTTTGCAAACAACTGTCCATAAATAGGTTGAACAGCCACGGGGAAGCCACACAGCCCTGTCTGACACCTTTATGGATGTCAAACCAGTCCGAGTAGACCCCGTTGATCCTAACACAAGCACTAGAGTCCCTATAAAGAGACTCCAATGCCCGTATCAAGCCAGCGCTCAACCCAAATGAGTTCAGTGTTTGCCATAGCAAATCCCTATCCACTCTGTCATAGGCCTTTTCCAAGTCCATGAACGCACAAAAAACCTTTTGGTTTTTGGCCAGAAACTTCTCCGCGATCATGCGCATGGAAAAGACTTGATCTGTACGTACCATTCCCTTTCTGAATCCCGCTTGCATATCCCAAATTTTTCATCAGTTTCTTTCATGACCCTTTCAATCAGTACCTTAGCATACAGTTTTCCCACAATGCTAAGAAGGCTGATGCCACGGTAGTTTTTACAATCCTGCTGCGACCCTTTTCCTTTATATACTGGGACTATCACGGCTTTGCACCAGTCTACCGGTACCCGCTTCAGTTCCCAGCATAAATTAAACAAGGTGTGCAGCAGGCCTGCACCGACTTCCTCTAGCCCTTAGCATTTCGAGTGAAACTCTATCATATCCGGCAGCCTTACCTGCTTTCATGCTTTTCATTGCTTTCATTATTTCATCTATACTTATCTCGCTACCTCTTTCCTCTTCTTTCGGAGTTTCTACTTCACTTAGTACACACGTTGTCTCCTCACTCATAAACACGCTTTCAAAATATTCCTTCCATCTCTTTAAACTCAAAACTTCATCTTTCAGAATATAGCCATTCTCGTCTCTTATAACATTCATCATAGGCTGTTTTGAATGTCCCCTGGCAGTTCTTACAAGTTTCCAGATCATTTTAATATTTGCCTGGAAGTTATCCGATATTCTTCTATCATTCTTATCCGTTCTTTCTTGCTTTTTTCTTTCAACTAGTTCTTTTACTCTCTTATTAAGATGTTTAAAGACTGCCTTTTTTCTTTCAATAGCATCATTCGTACCGCTAGAATTACCAGCCTTTGTTGCTAGTAAATCTAGCCATGATCTCTTCTTTGCTTCAACTTCCATACGTATCTCATCATCCCACCATAACGTATTATTTTTCCTTTCATTCTTCCTCTTACTAACACCACATACTTCGGTAGCTGCATCCACTAAACCTTTCTTTACATTTTGCCATACATTCTCCAAGTCTAACTCCTTCATACATAATTCATCCAAACCACTTATATTTTCTTTCAGTCTACATTTGAACTTGTTTCTCTCACCTTCATCTTGTAACCTTTCTGTTCTAATACGCTGTAACGCAGTGGTAGACACAGATGATCGATGACGCCAACGCCTGAATAGACCACTAATTCGGCATAAAACCAAATAATGATCCGTTCCTACGTTAGAACCCCGGTAAACCCTTGTATCTACCACCGCCCCCCTCAATCTTTCATCCACAATTATGAAATCTATCATGCTTCTATCGTCACCTCTTTCCCAAGTATACATGTGAATCCTCTTGTGGCGAAAGCAAATGTTCGTCACAAAAAGATTCTTTTCCATACATACGGTGAGGAGACTTTCACCATTCTCATTTATACTTTCATCACCAAACGTTCCCAATATCCTTTCATAACCAAGCCTCCTCACCCCAACCCTTCCATTAAAATCTCCTAGCATAATAATATTTTCATTTCCCTTACACTTCATTAACACCATCCTTACCATTTCCCAAAACTGCTCTCGGATATAAGTGGGCTTAGACATGTCTGGGGCGTAGACCCCTTACACAAACAACTTCTTTAAGCCCACTTTCATTCGTATCCATAGCAGTCTTGGGCTTACACATTCATACTCTTTCACACATTGGCCCATTCTTTCTGAAAGGATGATACCTACCCCCTGGCATGCCCGCTCGATCTCGTCTACACCAGACCAGTATGCGGTA